TCGACTGATCTCCCACTTTGTCCAAATTCTGCATCTATTCCCGAACGCAGGCGTTCGTGCGCGCAGTTCAGGGACACTCCATGGAGGCTGCAAAAGCTGCCAGAAGCAGTTTTGAGCACAAGTTTGCGAGCTGTTGAGTGTGATCCTATAACCTACACATGCCCATAAACCGTAATTTGGTCATAGGGACAATCTGGGTCACTCGTATTTATATATATATATATATTTATAACTGTCCTGGACTTATCACAGATAGAGGACTATTGTGCTGCCCTTTGCAGAATGATTATTGTTTTGCGCCCGGCTTGTGCAGATGGTCCTCCTCCTGGAACGCCTGGGTGCTGACGACCCTGACCTGCTAGAAGCATCGGAGTGGAATGAACTTGAACGTCCAGTTTGCGTCACTTTCCATGTGCATTCTGTTCATTGCATCAGATCATCCGTGCGTGATGTTTCTTCCTCTTCTCTAATCCATCAGCTCCCAAGGTTTGCGTGCGTGGCACGTACTTGCGCTTCCTGAAATCGATTCGGAGGCGGAGAACCGATCGGCAGCCAATCGGATGGATTCGCCTTCTATCGAAGCCATCTCCGCTAAATGGACTCATGGACTATCGTGGAGTTTTCTGGCGTTGCAGGGAAAACTCCCGTTGCGTCTCATCCCCGCTCCTTTTTGGATCCTCGTAAGGTACTCACTATACTGTAGGACCTGCCAAACGAACCTACCCCACCTGCGTCTTGCCGGGTGGTGCGGCGACCAGAGAGCGCGTCGGCAGGGACGGACTTCTGGCTGGCGGTGGAGTGGGGAACCGGAATCACGTTCACTTTGCGCCCTTCGAGCCACATGACGAGCCGAGAGGAGCGCCCGCCGGCCCACCAGATTTTTGTAAGCCTGCGCAGTGGAACCGCGCTTCGAAGATCTCGGGTGAATGAATGTACTGTAAATAGCAGGGCATCAGCCGGACGCCCCGATGGAACTTCCGATCAGAACCACTACGCCAAGAACTTCTTGCGTCCCACTTTCCCCACTGTGTGGGGAACAAACCTGACCCCACAAGACGAAACTTCAAGCTTTCATCAGGAACTGATGTGTAAAACCTTTACAACATTTTTATCAAAGGTCAACTTAGCAAATTTGAGAAACTTCTAGTCCTCATTAAGTCTTCCAATCGCCGGGAAAACGGAGTATACTAATACTGACCCTCTTTTTGTGGCCTATTTTTTCGGCAAGCCCCTCCAAACTCTCCCAGACTTGCGTTCTCAGCGTCACCGCTCCACCGAAAGCATAAAGTTAAACGCCCAAGTGAAGGAGGTACAGGTAGAGTGGAAGTGGAAAAGTTACTTTACTCCGAGTGATCCCCACCATGACATTTCAATCATTTGCTTTCACGTCATGGTGGTCAACGAACAGTCAACACAGTGACTCACGCCGGGGTAGTGCGTTTGTTGGTTGTGTACTGCATTGGTGTTTGCGCTTGCGTTTAGTGCTTGCGCGTGTGGTCGTGTTTTATTGGTTGTATTGTGTGTGTACCCCTTGGAATCATAGAGAGCCGGAGCCAGGTGCGGGGTCTCCGGCCCACGAAGACACCCCCCACCTGGGTGTAAACGTACCTGCGCTTGTGACAACACTCCACTCTACCACCGCTGTGGTTTGTTTCCATGGTGTTTGCGTGATATTCCCCTAAACCTGCCTTAATTTTAAGATTTCTTGTGTACTGCAGACCTGCGCGCTACGTCGTCATTTGTCGTTTCGGGATCGGCTTGAGCTTTTGGCCCCACTTCCGTATGAGCGCCTCCAGGCTTGTTTGGTTTTCACTTGATCTGGTCAGGATTTGGATACCCAGGTTGGCGTGTGGCAAACTGCATCAAATCAGAACGCAAGTCCATAAGTGTGTCTGGCCTCGCGCCAGCCCAGGGTGAGCCCGCAGAGTGCCCCCCGTGGACGCGTGGAACGGGGGTTTGTCGAATGTATCCCCTGCCCGGACACAGAGCAGCTCGCAGCGAGCGTAGGAGGCTTAAGCCAAAGTTATACTCCAAGACCTGACGAATTGTTGAATTCCAAGCTGGCCGCCTCCGGGCATGCCTGTAGATGACCATAGCGGTCAGAGCAGCCAGCCATTTTGGCACGGCTTGGAGCCTGTCCCACTCTTAGGTGACAGCGTTCACATGTAAACAAGGTCCGCCCAGGTGATTCTAATAATCAACCACACACACCTTTGCCCCGTCTTGTTCTCTTTTCATGTCTTCATTCGTTTGTCTTACTGTGCGCACGCGTGCACAATCGCCTAGACCTGTGTGTGTACCCTTGGAATCATAGGGATCCTTTCGGATTGTTTCGCTTTGATTTTAATTTTGAAGGAGCAAGGGGCCGCAGCCAGGTGGGGGGTCTCCGGCCAACGACGCCCCCCACCTGGGTGTAAACGTACCTGCACTTGTGACAACACTCCACTCTTCCACCGCTGTGGCGCACGCCGCGTCGTCGTTGTCGTTTCGGGATCGGCTTGAACTTTTGGCCCCACTTCCGTTTGAGGACCTCCAGGCTTCTGTGGTTTTTGCTTGATCTGGTCAGGATTTGGATACCCAGGTTGGCGTGTGGCAAACCGCATCAAATCTGTACGCAATTCCATAAGTGTGTGTGTTTGTGATTGTGTTTGTGGTTTTGTTTGTAATGTGCTTGTGTTCGTGTGATTGAAATTGTGTTTGTGGCTTGTCTGTCAGTTTTGCTAGTTGTGTAGTGTGTTCTGTATGTTTGTGGTTATGTTGTCCGGTTGTGTTGCGTGTTGAGGTCCGGCACTGCCTGCGATCTCGCTTGCGGTTGAGGTCCGGTAGTGCCCACAGCGATCTGGCACTTACTTACGGTTGAAGTCCGGTACCGGTAGTGCTCACTGCAATCTGTCGCTTGCGGTTGAGGCCTGGCCGTGGTTGAGGTCCGGTAGTTAGTGCCCACTGCGATCGGGAACTAGCGCAGCGGTTGAGGTCCAGCAGTGCCCACTGCAGGTCCGGTAGCGCCCACTGCGACGGGGAGCAGCTGGCGGTTGAGGTCCGGTATACCGCCCACTGCGATCGGGAGATGGTGGTTGAGGTCCGGGCCCACTGCGATCTGGCGCTTGCGGCTGAGGCCCGGCACAGCCCGCTGGGCTCTGGCGCTTGCCTGTATATAGCGTCCACTGCGATCTGGCGCTTGCGATCTGGCGCTTGCTGTTGGGGTCCGGTATACCCACTGCGATCTGGCGCTTGCTGTTGAGGTCCTGTAGTGCCCATTAGGATCGTGCACTTGCAGTTGTGGTATAGATTGCGATCTGGAGCTGGCAGTTGAGGTAGGAGAGGAGAGGAGAGGAGCGGAGAGAAGAGAAGAGAAGAGAAGAGAAGAGAAGAAAATGGACGAGAGGAGAGGAAAGGAGAGGAGAGGAGAAGAGAAGAGAAAAAAAGAGGAGAAGAGCTTTGATAAAAGCTGAGAACCCTCTTTTGGCAGGTGGGGAATCAAACCATCTGCAGCGTGCAGCGTGCGTGAGGTTCGCGCAAACTTGTTCCTGGGTTTGCCACCCATACAGCAATACAGCCCGTGTATCTGTGTCACATCCACGCCAAAAAACATGCGCATTGAGATGTCATCGTTCACCTTTTTGTGTTGCGTCCCCTTGTACCTGACTTCGTCGTCAGCAAGGATGCACCAAGTCCGGGTGGCCACTTGCGTCGTTGGCCAGTGATATATATATATATATATGTATATTTATAGTTGTCATGAGCGCAAACAGCTTCATCAAAGAGTTTGCGTGAAAGGATTCGTGCCAACCAAAGTATGCAAGAAGTCACCGGCCAGCACGCACCGCATTGCATGGACCGAACAGTGGGACACCCCAGGACACCACCAATCAACCACTCACCAGCGACGCACCACGTTTACACACATGTTTCTTGTTTGCCAACATCATGGAACCATGAAAGGACGGAGACCTCACCAACCTGCATGGCACAGCGACATCACAGACCTCGTGTCGCCACACCGCTTACAGGCGACACCCGGCGTTTACACACGCAAATTTCACATGAAACCACGCAAACGCACTTTCCACCGACGTCTTGCAAAACCGCCGGAAACGCAAAGCAACATCCGGACGAAACTTCGCGGCGCCGCGCAGATGGAACACTGCGACATCAAGCCTCGTGGACACCACAAGGGTCCCTGTTCACCAGCGCGTTTACATGCTTGCCCGTTCTCCAGTGCCATGGAATGATGCAAACGCACTTTGCACCGACGCCAAACCGCGTGACACTGACACTGCATTATTTTTTAAAATTCAATCTAGTTGCCATTGCACATTGGCGCGGTCAACGTGTCTCGGATTTGGTGAAGTGTTTTTGCGTTGGGGCCTGTATATTTACACACGGTTTCCCAATAGACTGAGAACGTTTGTTTTCAAGAGTAAACATAATGAATGAACTGTTAACAACATGCTTTGTATGTTTAACGATAAAAAACGCAAAAAACCCGGTTGCTTGGCAAATTGTGATGTTCTTGGGAATGCAGTGGGCCTGTATGAGGGAAGGTCTGGATGATTGCGGGGTGGAAACTTGTTCGGAAGGTAAGGTAGAGTAGAGTTCCGATCGAGTTGGAAGGTGGTGTGTTTCTGTACGGGATGTGATAGTGAAAACACACATCCTCCCAATCATTTCTACCAGACAACGAGTTTTGTTGTGTTTCATTTTTTCCTTCAGATTTTTTTGTACCATAACTGCATGTCGTTCACCACTGTATTATGGCTAGATGTTTTGCTGTGATTCTTTGTTGCGATTGTTATTTTGTTGTCAACGTAGCCTCTAGTGACTCTAGTGGCTCAAAACCTCTGGGTTTAGATGAGAACAACAAACAAACTAAAGTCAACAGTTGCCTGAATCATCCGATACTTGACATTAGCTGTCGATGTGCTGCTGAGACCTGCTGCATGTGACAGTAAACCAAGGTGTAGCCAAGAGGCAAACTCAGTCCAGCGCGTGTCGTGTTGATGAGATCCAATCTTTTCAGGGCCGAGGCTGGAAACACAATTTTGAAGATTTGTATTCCCTTTTTGGAAAGTATCCAGTTGGACAGGGTATGCCATCCCTTGATTCACATTGTGAGACCCGACCTCCGCTTGACAGGTCGACGGGATACGGCGCAGGCGTTTCTTGCCGACTTTGCCAGGTTGGCCGCCGCTTAGGATTGTGTCAGAGTTTCGACCATTGTCAAATGTAAAGTATAGTCTAGTACATTCAGTTGAATCCTTCAAGGTTTTGTGTTTTCATGATCATGATTGTAATGGGGGTCCGCGTGAAAACTATTTTTGAATCGGTTGGTGTTGGCTGGCTCTTTAAGCTGTCAGTGTGCGAGCAGGCCTCTTGATTGTTGTTATGTTTGTTGTTGTGTTTTTTTGTTATTACTGTTATAATATACATATTACTCTTATCATTACGAATATTTTGTTGTTATTTTTGCAGTTATTAGTTGTTCAAGTTTTGCCGCCATATATTTTTCTAGTCATTCAGTTCGACAGTCTAGCAACCCCCGTCCGGCAGGCTCCAGCGACTTGGAGTGGCAACCTGAGAGGGCTGACCTCAGGTTATCCAGGGCGTATCGGCTGGTACCCAGCCAACCCATGCATGTGAATAGGCAGACAATGGTTCAAACAAAAATAAAGGAGACATGGCCAGAACCAGTTCTGTGATTGGAATCTCCGGACATCTCTGGACAGCTTGGTTGGATCCAGCTCGCGACAAGTCAGCCTGTGAGCACAAGTGAGGAGAGTCAGAGTCGGGTGCTGAATCCAATCCAAGTCGCTTGAACGCGGAGACAGACAGACTCATCCCCAGCTTGCCACATTTCAATGCCCGATCTGAGGTGTGCAGCTGGTTGGCAAAAACTTTTACAGGCCGGCTGTGTGTCTGAAGCATCCGTTATGTTGCACTTAAACACCGGCCTGCGGTGTTTGGAAGAGCCTTTTAGTCAGATGTCAGAGACTTCACAGCCCTTCAGATTCTCAGCTTTTCAGGGAACGAAGCGTCCCATGGGGAGCGCTTTTGACATCCAATGGCGAGCCAATCGGTCTTTTTTCCTCGCGAGGGTGGCCCTGATTTCCGTGGGACCCTGAAAAATGGGCACTCAGCTGACTCAGCGGGTTGAGCCAGTGGACCCCAAGTTCCCCCCAAATTGTCTGGGACCCATCCATTACAAACAGGTTCTTCTGCACGCCTGGTTGGTGAAAATTGGAAGGGATTGCTATTGCCGGGATTCGACCATCCCCCCTTTTGGCAGGGCACATGCCGATTGTACAGCAGCGATGACTGCTGTGCAGCACACGTCCAAAATATGAAGCTTGGAGTTTTGAAGAACCAATCCAACCCGCATCTGTCAATGGCCGCTTCTGGGCAGTCGGGGACCTGTACTGGTCACCTACTCAATGCAGGTCACCGTGAGTTGAGCCGGCGCTGCCAGGCGGCGGGGTCCTTCTTCGAGACTGATGCACAGAACAATGAAGACCCTCTGGTGGAGACCGTCCGGGGTCAGAGATGTGAGGATGTGGACCAGGCATGGAGCTGGAACACGTGGATGAAACCAGATCTCAGATGGCCGGCTCTGGTCGGTCTCAGGTCAATCGTGGGCAACTGATGTGCATACTTGATCATACTTGGTAAATCCTGGGTTAAATCCTTGACACATTGATGAAGTGAACATGCAGTAGACACCTCCCGGTTATCAAAGAGCCTCCACATACTCATGCCATGCACTCCAACATGAAGATGACAACCACGACAGAGTCTTTTTTCTTGAGTTGACTCAGGGATTGCTGCTTTCATCAATCTTTTTCGATGTCAATGTAAAGCCTTTTGTGTTTTCGTGCAACCACGAGGTCCGACAGCAACCTGTGGCTGCCTTGCGATTTATTCGCATGATGCTGCTCTCCAGTAGTCTCGGCAGCCTGGTCGGGGGTCCTCGAAGCACGGGGGGTCCTCGGTGGCTCGTTGTGGAAAGTAAGGCACAGGTACTCACACAAAAGAGAACCTCGGCAAGACGTTGTTTACTTTTCCAAAGGTTGTGAGTTTGTTAGACTCTGTTTTTTGACATGAGAAGACAACTGACTGTCCATGAAGACTGCTTGGTTTCCTGCCTTCTCTCTGTGGCCAGGTCGTATGCGCCGTTTGCTGGGCATTCCTCTACCTGCAGTGGTCAGTTTGTTGCAGTTGCCAGCGCCCATTGAGGTGGGGGAGGCCCTGTGAGTCGCAGAAAGGCCGGCAGTTGACATGGCAAGGATGTAAAGAGGCCTCGTTTTCAAGCTGTTGAGAAGACCCTGTTCAATCACCAAGAACCAATGAACAAGGGGTGCCCGGGCCTCCTCTCGTTTTGGTTTCTGCTTAACAGCTTCTAACCGCTTCAAACCGTCCTGGTTTGCTGCTCACATCTCAGGTGGTGGCTGCTGTTGTATGCAACCTTGCAGCAACTGCAGTTGCCCGTGCGATTTGCGCCTCGGTGCACCGGCGTGCGATTTGCCTGGGAAAAACCATGGATGGCTCAGACCAAAGGATGTGCCGAATGGACTCTGCATGGCTCAGATCTGTGACGTTTCGCCAGAGAGTCGTCCTTTCGGTCTGAAACCTTCCCCCCTTCTGTTAGGTTGATCTGCTCCCGTCGATGGATTTGGAGTGAAACCTCCCACCTTCGGGACCTGAGCACTGCAGCACGACCTCCCAACCTCTCCGACCGCACCCATCAGGCTCGACGTGCTCGCCTGAGGTGACCTTGTACCGCTTGGGCCTCCGCTTGCAGTTGCACGAGGCCGACGGCGAGCGACTGCAGGCCGGTCAGCGGCGAGCGTGGGGTGCGATGGAGAGCGTGGGGAGCGTTCTGAGAGGCAAAAGCTCCAGGTGAGACGTGGGCGGGAGGGTTCCAAGCGAGTCAACGAGTCAACGGGGCTGGGGTCGGCACAGCGAGGGGATGGTCGCAAGGTGGGTGAGGAGATACGGATGCATGAATGTGGAATGCTATTCAAAGGATCAGCCGAGTATCCCTACCCTGGAGCTGGGACATGGCATGCTTTCAGCTTCCAAGCTCCATTTCCTTGTGTTACAAAAGCAGTTGTTCACTTGTTTTGAAGACAGTTGTTCACTAGGTGGTCTCGCCATGAGTAACACACGCATCTCGCAAGCCTCGGCCTCTCGACATCGGTGAGAGGACTTGGCTTCGCAGCGCTTCTCGTAGTCTGTCATAGTATTTGGGGCCAAAAAAGCTTTCTTTGTGGGTAAAGATGGCCAAGGAAAGCTGAAACGCATCGTCTTATACGCACTTTCGCGGGCTGTGGCACCGGTTTCAATTGGAATACTCCTACCACGACGAAGCCCGTGGAAACTCCCTTAGTTGGACCTCACCAAGGTCTGAAAAGCTCTATCGCCAAAGCTTCCTGTTTCTATCCGTAGTTCCTTGAAGTCTCTCCGTTTTCGTCGCCACGACCCGATCGCTTCACCCACCAATCAGCCAACCCCTTCTCCGAGTGGAAAACGAGTGTGTGACCGACGCCCGGTCGACCAACTGCAGGTGGAAGTCTCCCGCTTTACTTCGTCCATGGCTTGGAGATGGAGTAAGAACATCTCGCTCTTCACGTGCCGTGGTGGTTTCAGCAGGTGGTTTTCTGCAGTGAGGCTGTTTTTTGCTACGCTGTGTTTACCAACTCAGCAGACGAGTGAAAAAAGCGCCGAAACAACGTCGGGGAAGAACAAAGAACTGTCCTCATAGGTTCAGTTCGACATCCTACTTTCTCACCCGAGTCTAGAAAAAACACGTCGAACGTTGCCATCTTGCCAGGTGTGAGACATGTGAGAAAATCTGAGATCTGCAGGTACGGTTGGTTCGTCTTGGGCATTGTTTGGGTCTTGAACTCTGACTATGAGTCCTGCAGAGAAGCGCACAGGAGACCGGCCAGATTTCCATGACATATTTGCGAAGATGGGGCCGGTGTCGGAGGTGTTGGAAGTGGCACTTTCCTGCCTTTGACATTCCAAAGAAATAACTTCTTGTCCTCAGAAGCTCTTCCAACACCAGGCTGCGGGAATTCTTGATCCAATCCCATCGGATATTGCCGTGTGCAGAGTGGATGTTGATCATTCATGACACGGCTTCTTACGGGCAAGCGTTCTGCCTGAGGCTTCCTCCTCGAATCCGAAGTAAGTTTGTTGAGAATGGCCGTGGTTCCTCACCGGCCCATCATTGAGGCCCACTGAACCTCTATAAACCAGATTAAACCAGGACTTTCAGCGCGGAACCCGGTCTTCTTGTTGGATCTCTGGGTTTTTATCCTACAGAACGTCCACCTCCAAGCTGACTCGACTCGACCAGGATCACGATTGCAGTCATCGGCCAGGCCTTTCTGAGAGCTGCGCCTCGGAGAGAAGGAGATGCTGTATGGTTTTGGAGTGCAAAAGGCAGACCTCTCCATGTTACACCCAAGGTGCTTGTCGCAGGTGGTTTGCATGTTAGACCTGGGTTTGTTTTTCTGAAGGAGCTGTAGCTCTTGCCCAAATCGAGCTCTTTGCATTGCTCAGGTGGGGGCCATGCTCTGCTTTCGTCTCTGTATGCAGGCGCAGCCGGCGGACAGCACGGAGGCCAAGCTTGGTCCAAATCCGTTCACGGCGATTGTGATGGGAAATACGTTCCGGCTGTGTCTGTCTCTGAGACGCTGAGACTTGCAGAGGAGAGAGGGCGCCCTCCGATCGCGGGCGCCCTCCCACCCCGTCCCCTCGGCAGCCCAGGTCCCAAGGTGGAGGCCGGCAGCCCGCGCCGTCTGGGGGGCGAATCCAACGCCGGGGAGTCATGGAGGTGACCTTTGTTACTTCAAAGGGGGAGTAGGAGATGTAGGTTGGAGTTTTACAAGTGTTACTCTGCTTCATGTTGTGGAGAAGCTTGATCAGTTCACCTTGGTCAAGTTTCGATCACGGCGCAAGGACATGAAGTGCCGCAGCGCTCCCGTGCCCATAGGTCTGACACCAAAAAGCAGCGGTGCTGACGCTGGTCTGACACCCGCCAAGACCAGAAGGAAGAATGGAAGAACGGCGGGAGAGAAATACTCATGGAATCTGGAAAGTGGAGTGAGCTCACCACCTGTTGGGTCTTCGGACGCCTTCGAACCTCCGAGCCGTTAGCTGGGCCGTGCGCCGTGCGCCGTGCGATCTCCTGTTCGCCTTGGACCGATGGCTCGCCGTCGCCGGGCTGGGAGGCCGCCCGGGCGGATGAGATTGCATCCTTGCCAGTGGTGGCTTTCAGGCGAAGAGGGACAGATGGGTGGCTGTGGGATGAGACGCGGGAAGGAAAGGACTGCGAAGTCCATATTGAAGTGGAAAGGTAGTTTGGAGAGACTTACTGTAGCTCATGCGACAAAGGAAGGTCAAAATGCTGGACAGCAAAGAATCATTGTAGGTGACACTTTGATAGACCATTCTCCTCTCTCCCGAAAGGGGCAGCGCTTCTTTTTCCACAGCTGTGCTTCGTGGGGGGCAGGTTAAAGCCAAAAAAGGACAGGCTTTGGTGATGCCGCGATGCCTGTGGTCATTTTGAAGGTGGACATTTGGTGTTTTCGAGTTTCGAGGGTGTTGACGTGTTTGGTCTTCACACCTGACTCTCGCCAGCGAGAGGTCTGAGATGGCCAAGGAACATGTCGGACTCTAAGAGAGGGCCGACGCACGCCGCCGATTGGACGAGATGAGGACTTTGTAGCTACTTACAGTACGGCGTAGAAGCAAACTGCAGCCAATGACTCACGTATCATACTCGACTCATGATTCTTTATGGCTTCCAGTATCAGTATGTATGATTAGTAGCAGGGCACATTGTTTCCCCGACCAATCAACTTGGGATTAGGCTTTTGGACTGTTCTTCGCATGAGGTTGCCGAGAACTTGATCATTGTTGAACGTACATCAATTATAGTTGTAGTCTCTTCAAACGCCAAAGCCAATGCAAAAGCCATCAAAAGCCATCAAGTTCCTTTGAGTGCATTGTTATCTACGGGGAATTGAGCACAGTTCCCCTGTTGTCGTCCCAGTCCGGGGCGTATGGATCTCAACCCTTGGCTTCGCTGGATGGCGCCAAACCTCCATGGCTGCAAATGGATCTCACGCCCAATTTTTGCAGGAATTCTTCCCCCCCCCCTGCAGGTGCCGCATGCTACGGATGTAACAAGGTTCGCTACGTTCGGGGCTCCTCGCATCGCGACTCGAACGGAGCGATCGGACGCTACGAACGGGGCTCCTGGCCTTACTACTAGGAGCAAGAAGCTATTAGGTGTGAATTCTCTAGGGATTCCGACGCGTCGAGCCGACGCTGACGGCCGGCGGAGGCCATGTGTTCGGTGTGCCTTTCGGACTACGTGGAGGGCGAAGCCCTGCGCAGGCGGCGGCGGGACACGCCTTCTTCGTCCGTCCGGCCGTTGGGACCGGAGTCAGCGCGGGGGTACTGAACTGCCCCTGTCACATCCACTTTGTGACTAAGAACCACCCCCAAATATCGCACTTCACGCGTTTTTGCGTGACTTCCCTCTCTTTCGCAACGTTTCGCCGCGTGACGACTCGGTTACCGAAAACCGACCAGGCTACCGTGTGGGCATCTTTTCCATCGACGTTGTGCGGTGCCACCTGGGGGGGAAAACGGTGGACTCATCGGCATCGGGGGGGTGTCCTCTTCCGCCCTTTTGGGCATTTTGGATGAGACACTTGACCTCTTATGGCTTGGATCTTTGGCCGTGTGGCACTATGTGTGGTGTACACTGCTAGTATTGTAGGTGCAAAGTGCAAAGGCACCCACGCAATTCTGCATGGACACAAGGCTGGTGAAGACCCTGAATGGCCTTGCACATTCATCCTCGCAAAGACTTGAGCTACGACCCACACCTCCAAGTTGATGGTTTAGTGGATCACCACAATCCAGTATGTGTGGGATTATGCGCTGTACCGTGCTGTACCTATCAATCAGCAATGGACGCTTGGTGGACGCGACCACAAGTTCGTGCGTCCATATGTTGGTTTTGGCCCTGCCGCTAGGCAGGTATCTAGTTCTCAATGACTCGACGCGGGAGCCATGCCGAACTTGGGGAAGGGGGGGTAGGTAAGATATGGTAAGAGTGTCCAAGTCTGTCAGAAACTTCAGTTAAACACATCTTACATCAACGAACCGGAGAATCCGGTTCGCGATTTTTTCGGTTATATAGTGGGATCATTTTTCGTTCTTTTTTTTGTGTCACAATGTCACGATTTCTGATGGATGAATGTCAGTTGATTTTGCCATGTCGAAAGCCATTTTCTGATTGGGATTGAGCATGTCGAAAGCCAGGATGAGTGGTTGCATCGAAGCTGCCGCTGTCCGTTGTGTGCAGGGTTGCCTCGGAACCGACCCTGAGGGGCCGTCCTCGCCCGTCGAAGTGTTGGGTATCGGTCCAGGCCATCGCAGATGAAGCTGCGTGGTTTTAAAAGCAGTTGTGTTGCCCCCTGTACCTCGATCAAAAAGCATGGGAAATGGGCACAGCTGGATTGCAAATGCTCACCAAGCCGCTTGCTTTCAGCCACACCCACCACTCAAGATCCAGCTGGTTTGTGATTCACTCTTGCGCCAGCAACGGAATTTGGCCAAACCCTACAGTGCAAAATGTTGCTTCGGCAACATAGAAAGTTCTTCTCTACATGCCCGAGAACACTTGCGCGAAGAATATGTCAACGTTCAATCCAATCTTTTCTGCTGGAGTTTCTGGAGCTGTAAAAACATCATGTCATGTATAGTTTGTTGTGTCCATGCAACCAATGTGATATGTACACGACATGTGCAACCGACCCATATCTCCAACCTAGATCCAGGAAGACTCCGATAGGAAAAAGGCCGATATGGGCACTTGGAGGCCCATTTTCGGGTGGCCACTTGCACTGGATGCCATTGGTTCCGTGTCATGGAATGATTCGAAAACAAACCGAGACCCCGGAAAGCGGGAGGTTCATCGAGCATCGCCCAAGGCTTTGGTAGGGACATTGGTCGGGGAGTGTCTCGGCTCGTGCCCGCTTCAGCGGGCTTTGGCATTGTTGGACGACTTGGGGCCCAGGTCCAAAGTATTCGCGACTTCTGACTGCTCCTCCTTCAGGGAGACCAGTGGGAGTATCGATGATCACTGCGGCTGGGTACAGTACAGACCATGCATTTCAACCACATCAGGACAACTGGTGATTCGACCACTAGGAGTGTTTGGGGCTTCACTGGACCCGCACAAGCCAGGCAAAGTTCTGTACCCAATGCCGGGCGTCGAATTCGTTTGTGCATGTGGCCAAGAGTTTGCGTTGGACAGCGTGAGAATTCAACCATCCAAAGCCCAATTGTTTGGACATCACGAAAAGAACGCCTGTTTCAGCGCACTGGTTTTCAATGCTTCGCCGAAACCAGTCCCCTGTCAAGCGCAAGGATGGTGTATTGCCAGGCAAAGCCAAGAGAAGGCTCAATGTTTCGGCCGCCCGCGAACGACTGGCCCTAGATTCCCTGATCAGGTGACGTCCGCGAACGGGTGTGTCCATCGAAGCGAACTGCAGCACCCAGTCCGACTTGGATGACTGGAGACACCCGGTGCGGACGACCGACCGGTCGGTAGGACAGTGAGTCGACCGACCCGTGGGGCGGCGGCTGGCACGTTCGCTCCTGATGGGAGCAGCGGGTCGCCCGCCGCAGCAGCTGGCACGCATGTGGGTTTGCGGAGCGGGGCGGTGAAGCGGGAGGAGTCTCCGCGGATAGACCTTGGGAGAGGTTGATGGATGTTTTTCCTGCGGGATTCACGACTAAACCCCGAAAAGGTTCAACCCTTAGAAGAAGATCCTAGGGCTTAGGGACTTCCTTACAATCCTTACAAGCTTCAGGACCCTTTGTGTCTCTCAACGTGCATACATAGATCGCCTTCTTCCCGTTGAGCATTTTTGGTGAGTTTTGACACATCTCATTCTTCGACACTTCCCTTTACTTGGCCACGTTCTCCAGCCATCGTTTGTCTACTTTTCCTGCAGAGGACCGCGTGGAAGCCCATTCCAGCCACTGGGTTGGTCTTCGGGTTCAAGGGTCTTCCAACCACTGGGATCGTCATGCGGCGGGGTGGTAGATACCTAGTGGCCTAGTAGTCCCAAGAGGAAGAGGATTATATACCCCCAGAGGAAGGAGATTATATACCTCCAGCAGATTATGATATATACCTGGAACCCCAAACAACCAGAAAGAAATTGATGTTTCCCCAAACAACCATTTCCTATGTAAAGGATTTCAATTGCCATATTGGAACAACCATTTGTTTCTGGTTGTTTGGGGTTCCAGGTAGCCTTATATATCCCCTAGTATTCCAAACCCCCAGTGATCCTCTTTCTGGGACTACCCCCAGACTCCGCGGTCTACCGGGAGAGGCCGGCTCTCGACCGGTCTCTGGTCCTCCCCCAAGAGCTCCGGTCCCGCGGAGCGATCGAAAAAAGGCGTGGGACGCACCGGGTGGTGCAGCACCGGGTGGATGTGGGGCGAGTGTTGGCACAGCTTCCCGTGTTTGGCCAGTCTGTTGATCCGGGCGCCCAAGATCACCCGGAGGGATTTCTCATGGGTTTTTAGGTGACATTCTGGGGGCAAAATGGAGTAGTGTTGAGGTCCAAAGCAGTTTGGATTGTCAAAGGCTGCCCTTTGAGACACATACTCTTCTCATTTCTCAAACCTGCCAGACCAATCCTTCAAACCTTATGTTGAAACGACACGTTTGCTAACACCATGAGCAACAAATGAGAAGTCTTTACAGATGATGGCTTTAAGAGCTGATCAACCCATGCTCCACAGGTTCGTTCATGGTTGGAAGCAGATCGACCGACCAGTTGGAAGCAGATTCATCGAAGGCTTTGACCCACACGCTGAAGGGCTTTCCTTTTGAGGGGATGAGGAGGAAGGATGATGAAGCTTCATGGTTGTCGCGAGGACAATGCTCCTCATGGCTTGTTCCTTGTCTTGGCCTGATATCAGTTTCACCCAGATCCACCCGCAAACTTGTGCCCTGCCCAAGACGAAGAGCTCATGAAAGAGCCCCGTTTCCCAAAACGCCTCCATCCCAGGTCGCCGGCGGTCTCGGAGTTCTTCCGCGGTTTCCCAGATCGCCGGACTCGTCCGGTCGCCGCGGCGACGGCCCTGGCATCAAGGAGTGAAGCGAGAGGAACAGGGAGAAAGCGCCACAGCACAGTCATGGCATGAGGGGATAGCATGCGCCTCAAGCACCGGAACGAGCATCGGTTAGACTGGATCAGTCTGCAGGTCGTTGCACAGGCCTGGAACACCGTGTCGTTTGGGAAGCAAATTCGTGTGCAAGTTGTGACAGTTCTTCAACTGGGCAGTCTGTGCTTGTGACAACAGCGTACATGGTGTCCTTCTTCACGTCTGTCTTCATTCCCAATTTAATTGTGTAGACTGCAAGTGATTAAACTCATCCTGACTCACATCCTGTTTGCTAAGCGCTAGCTAGCTTACGAGCCATGGAGACTGGAGTGGACGCGGGGCGTGCCTGTCTTGCAAGGATGTGATCTGAATGTCTCTTCATTCACCATCCAACACACCCACACAAAAACGCTCATATTGACACATCATCTGAAAACGAGCCGATTTGAGATTCCAGTTCTGAATTCGCCGAATGGAGTCTACCAGACCGGGGGACACACTCGTTGGGGTAATCCGAGCCGCTGGTGTGCCGCTCGTTCTAGTCCGGCTTGACTTTTCTTGGAGCTTCTGCACTTGTTACTAGCAGCTTCTTGCTACTGGTAGTAATGCCCTTGTTACTAGTAGCGATGCACTTGCTACTAGAAGAGTCCACTTTGGTTGGAAGTGATTGAATGGAACAAAGAGGACAGACAGGATCCCTTGAGTATTCAGTGTTTGTTTGAAAGGTCCACACCTTAGCTCATCCCCTTGACTGCAGGGGTGGGGTAAAGACCGTCAGACCATACCGGCCCCTTTTTTGGGTTCTGTAGATCATGGATCGTAGGCCTGCCATGGCCTGCCTAGCTTGCTCATGGATGGGTCGCCGTCGCCCGCTCCATGAGGGATGCAATAAATCCATGGGGCTCCAAAACCTGATTTTCACATATTCACCACGATGAGGTGCAGCGGCGACAGCGCAGCATCAGCACGAGCGGCGCTGCGGTTGGCGGAGCGGCCTTTCAGCGGGCTTTCCTCTTGGCCGCGGGTTTGCGTGGTGCTTTCTTTGGTCAGGACTGGGGGGTTGAGACGAGGTTCTTTTTGTGAGCTATTTTTTTGAGGAGTCGATCAAAGACGGTCTGGGACGGTGCATCAAACTCCTCAGCGCGACTGTATGTTACTGTATATGGTTGTGGACTATGAACAGATAATTAGTGATCTTGATTATTGATAGTTGATGCTTGGTTTCAGTTTAGCATTTTCTTGTTTTAAATGTCTTCTTGAGAAGAATATTAGCTTGGCTTGGCCCTGTAGAGGAGGGAATGGTTTTCATGTGGTTGATTTGGAATGGTCGGGGGTGGTTTTCAGGTGGTTTTTGACATGGCAGCACGATACCCTTTGAGAAGACTTTTTCCTTGGCTATGGATTCTCTGCATGTTCATTCAAAACGCAAGAGACCTGCGTTTCGGATGCCCTACGAAAGGCCACAGAGAACAAACATGAACAACTCACATATGTAATATGTATATACATACACATACATATTGAACATCGTTTTAGATTACAGTAAGAACGTATATATATATATATAATATATATATATGTATATAATACATACACATTCAGTGACACATGTCCCGTGTTTGCCATATGGTTTCGAAGCGGCAAAATCGCTGCTGGAGTCTTCGCTGCTGGCTTCGATACGGCTCGCGGGTGGCCTGTGATGGCAGCTCGAAACAAAATTTGATTGTGAAATGTGCACGTGAGCCTGTTGACACTCGTAGCACACAAGTGATTCATATCACCCAAGTGAGTCAATTGAATCTCAAAATCAGTTGGACAAGTATTACATAATTGGATGTTTGAATCCTAAATGTTTTGTCCTATATATAGTCTGTTGGCAACTATTGACTATATAGTCTGTAAGGCTATGAGACTATGGCTTACTATTTTTGACCACTGCTAGGGCGTGGAAGCGCTATCGATCGCGAAAGACAAAGAATTACTAAAAATGGGGATGTTCGGGAGAAACTTCAGCAAATGGCCGTAGGATTTATCTGAAGGCACACGAAGTTTGACAGAAAAGAAGGATGACACACTCACACAGTTTCTTCGAAACACGGTTGGACATGGTTCGTACCTCGTAGTTGGACATTACATCTCTTTTTCAGCGACCCGTTTTCAGACCTCTGCAGCATCTCAGCCTTGCCCAGCGGTTGAAATCGGACCATGCTTCGACGAGAGCGGTTTATGCATGGACAATGAAGCGACGAAGCGTACCGAGATTGGCTGGATTTCTTTTGCGTCCCCCAACTTGTGGAGGGACTTTGGGAGTGGCATGTTCACAGCAACCGCTCCATGTTCACAGCATTTCCAGTGATGTGGCCGGCTGCAACGTTTGTCTGCATCGTTAGGTGCCTACACACACAATATCAACATGTGAACCCTCCAGGGCAGGAACGTGGCGTCGCTTCTCACCGAACCTGTGGTGTCCCTTCGGGGAGCTCCCGAAAGCTCGTCGTTCTCAGAGCCCAGAGGTCGCCCAGCATCCTGAAGGTCCAACCTCTTGGGTCCATCAGCACATCTCCGTCGGCTCAGGACGCTGGTCGCTCTCGCTCTGCTGCCCTGGCCGCTCAGTCAGCGGCCGCCGCGGCACACGGCACGGATGCCCCAAGCACGTCGTGGGTGCCTTGGCTGCCCATGTCAAACCGCGATGTGCCGCCAGAGGGCGATCCGACAGAGCGAAACGTGTGAGATGGCCATCATTCTTTTTGGGGAGGGACGTATTTTCTGCCCGTTTGGAACTCAGCTACTTTGGTGTGAACTACGAGGGGGTACAGGGATGTTGGGTCCCAGCTTAGTAGCGTTTGCTGAGCTGGGAGGTGGACCGAACGGCGGAGAGGATGGATGATTTGGGTGAATGGACGTTTGTCCGATGTTGGACATGCGGCGTCTCGAATGGTTCAGTGAACTCGGGGTTCAATGGGTGGCGGAATGTGGGGTCAACAAGGGAACAAGGCGGCGGGCATGTAGTCAACTTCTACTCAAAGTGGCTTGCAGGTTGCAAGTAGCAGTGGCAGCACCAAGAAGGTGGTTTCCGCAAAGTTTTCGGAGTGTTGGAAGAAAAAGGGTTGTTCTATCCTACCCAAGCGGCTTTTCTTTGGCCTGTAAAAAATCTTGCTCTAAGGAGTTCAGGAGTTCCAATTTACACCGTTTCTGTGTACTTTGGATACTTCTTAATGTTTTTGCAGTGGATTCGTGCGCGGCTGAGTCCGAAGCATCAGGTGAAGCCGAAGATCACTGAGCTCCAGATGCCCGGCGCTGCTTTAACAGCGGTGCCCCGCGCGGCCGTGTTGGTACGGTGGGTTGGTGCGACGTGGAGACCGAATCTGTCCTAGTTCGAGGATCAATGGGGCAGGGCCCGTCCCCTGAATGTCTCTAAGTCGAGTAAGAGTCCATGATATAAGCTGTTCAACTTCGAACACGTTGAGTTTTGAGAACTCCAATACTGGAGATCCTCAACACCTCACTTTGTTTGGACATTTGCTCATGATCTATTTGTTTAGTCTCAAAGACCCTTTTGGCCAAATATCATGTGGTTTCTGTAGATGCACTTTGCAAGCTTTTGCAAGCATCAGGAGTTCTCAGAACTCATCGTGAACCGTATGTGCAGGTTCCACTGTGCTAAGCAAACCATTCTTTCCTGTCATCTAAATGACCAGCGCTTGTAAAACAATACGTACCAAGGGCAATGATGAGATGGAAGGGCTCATGCATAGCCACTTGTGTCGACTCAACAAGCCTTGATGGTAGAAGCTTAAGGGCTTCAAGATCTAGTCTTTCAGGGTTTGGATCCTCTTGAGCATTAGCAGCCTTTCAGATCAACACCTGCCAAGAGGTTTGCCTTCAGCCATTTTCAGCCATTTGCAACCCCCCCCCCAAAAAGAACCGCCGGAACCCCGGCGGAACCCCGCGTCCCCCCGCGTGTGTCGGGAACGGTCGTCGACCGTTGTCGTCGACCGTTCCCGATTCCCGTCCTCCACCATTCTGCCATGGGTTTTTGGAGCAAAAGCTGTGGACACACCATTGGCCAATGGAAGGAAACACCTCCCACCCAAGGGTTGGATCTCCACCGGTGGGCGCTGGCCTTACTGGGGGCGTGCCTTCTGCGATCATGAATGCTCCATGTCCACCAGAAAACAGCTGGGTGGCGCAGTCGATCGCTGGCCAAGCCAAGACCCTTTGTCAATTTCAATGCTTGATTCTTGATGATTGACAGACAGAGTGGTTTGACAGAGTGGTTTTACAGATAAAGATGGATTGATCTACCTGTCAACGAACCTACTGCAAATATATATATGATTATATATGATATTCTAGCGTTGATGATACCAAACAAAGATGTATATATATATATATCTATATTTACACTTTACACATAGGTACATACAATATATATATATATGTAATATACACACCCTTATCCCATATATATATATATATAGTCTATAAATATATTGTTTCTGAATACAGTATACAGGCTAGATCTGAGACTTTCTGCTTCCAGCGGATGAGCTGCTGGTCCAGCGGAGCCCTTCTTTCCGCTCCGAAACCGGCAAGTAAGGTCGCGCGACAAAGTTGACAAGATAAATACATAAAAGACGATAGACATATATATATATATATGTCTATATGAATATACAGGACATGACATGATGTATGGTAATAATAATATGCTGTATATGTATTAGCAAATGCATCCAGAATTCCCTCCTCATGAACCTGGCTCTAATTCGCTCAACGGTCTTCAGATGCTCCCCACATCGGTTGCCCCACCACGGGGGGGGACCCGGTCGTGGAGGAGGACCTCGGAGCAAGACTTGATGTACAGAAGCTGCAGCTGCTTGTACTTGCAAGACGTGACATGTGTATACTTAATATCACATGCAATATTTCATGCACTGCAGGACCAGGAAACATATATATATATATATAGGTGCAGAGTGCAGAGATACGGATTCTAAAGGAACCAACCAGCCACGGTTGGTGTTATTCCCACAGACTCATCAACCCAAGCCATTACTCTCACAGCCGCCGTCTGCGTGTCAGGCGAAGATCTCTGAGAATGGGATCATTTCTCAATGAGGATTTTGCTGATCCTTTTCACAAATCTCTGGGCTGATGGAACTTCTTCACCAGGACCACTTCGAGAGGCGAGCTTCACAAGGGGAGCAGCGCGGTTGCGTGTCCCGCGCCACGGGGGGAGCTCGAGCCGCGTTGGACTCCGCCGGAGCTCTCATGGACCTCAAGGAGCGACGACGGGCACGGTGGCTTTGGCTGTGGTGGCTTTGGCACGGCGTGGATGTGGTACCCAAATGGCTGGAGTGGATTTGGATGAGTCCTGGCTCAGTGCTGGTGTGGCAACAATAGGATGGAGTTTTGGAGGAGTTGTAAGGTTCACATCTCACTTGATTTGATGTCATTTGAATGCGGCTCACTCATGAGAGGCCCAGTTGATGGAGAAATCAACCAAACTTTGAAACACTTGATCTGGTCCCCTGATGATCTTTTTAGGAAACTCCGGTAGATTGGAAGACTTGCACCTTTGAGGCCTCCGGGAGAGCTGCGAAGAATCATGACTCTGACTTCAGACTGTCTGGAGACAAAGACCTCAGACTGCAGGGGTCGAAGATCCCGTCAAATTGATTTGCAAATGGCCAACATGTTTCTATCTTGTGGTCCCATTCACCTGAGAAGACCTGGGGCAAGACCTGGTGCACTGGGACATGTCTCAGACGGCCCCTCTTTGGGAGGCTAGAATTTGCCCAAAGGACGGGTGCAGCGCGCGGTCTCAACCATGGATGGCCTCGGGCAGGTTTGAGGGTAGCTTGCTTTTTGCTGCTTGCCGCACCGTTGGTGTGTGCGTGTGTCTCGCGGACATGTGTCGGTGTGTCTAGTGAGACAAGACCCGCACGAACCCATTGAGACCAACCTGGATGATTCGAGTTGCACACGCATGCTACAAGTTCGCTTACGGCGCCAACAGGGCCCCCAGGTTGGCATGTCCACGGAAGAGACCTGCCACCAGTCGAAGCAATCCAGCTTGTCAGACGTTACCATTTGATCTACAAATTGCATCATGCTTTGCCATGCCATGTCCTGGCGGACTGCCGAGCTCTACTTCTATCACATGCGTGTGATTGGATGCTGACTGCTTGGACTGGATTCTTCTGGCAAGCCGAAGCTGTGCTTGACCAGACCGTTTGCAGCCATTCACTGCCTACCCTTTGTCTATGCTTTGGTGTTCAGGCAAAGCATTTTGCAGCATACAGTCTAGCAGCAGCTTGTACAGTGCAGAATGAGAGAAAGGGATGTCGTAGAACTTTCGACTCCACGAAAAAGGTGAAGAAATGGTTCAGTTTTCAGCAAAGTCACATGCAGGGCGCCAGGAGCAGAGCGTACACTCATGTTTCCGAGCACCCTGAGGGGCTTAAGTCAAGCGGGAGTTGACACCTACATGTGGCTTCATGGCATCGGAGGAGGGGCTGAGTACTACAGGGCTCAGTACATGTCATGTCACGGTTTAGGTACTCCATGATTCATGATTCATGCATGTCAGATGTTAGATGCCCGCGGACTCCTAGCCCTCCGGGGTTCCGAAGAGGAGTGCCGTTAGGGCAGACATGTCCTGAATCTTGTTGCGAACTTTGTGAGCCATTTGCTCCACAAATTGCTTCATGCTTTGTCATGCTGTGTCCTTGCGGACTGCCCGGCTCCACTTCTACAACGTGGCTTCTTGTGCTGGCTGCTGGCGCTGGATGCCTAGGGCATGCTTTGGTTGAGCTTGATCAGGAAGTCCTTTGTTTCCTTTGTTCACCGCTGGTGCTTTTCTTAGCTCTATGTTCAAGCTGCTTGAAGCTCACAGCTTGTGGCAACACTTTCCGGCACTTGTACATATGCAACCTTTAACCCTGCCTTCCACGTTTCTGAAGGCTTTCTGGCTGCTTCCGAATGGGAAGCTGGGATGTCGTAAAACTTTCGACTCCACCTTGAAGAAGGTGAAGAAATATTTCAGTTTTCACCTGATGAGTCAGAGGACCAAGTGGATTGTGCTCGCATAAACATGCATGCACGAAGCAGGAACGCTGGGTGCGAGATGCTTACAAAAAAGTCATATGCAGGGCTGTATGAGCGGAGCTTACACGCATGTGCCTTGCCCTCAGGGGTCTGGCGAAGAGACTTGGTACAAGTCAAGCAGGTGTCAAACCTACTTAGAGGTGTGCGACATGGCATGGGAGGAGTGGTTGAGATCTTCTACAGGGTTTAACACTGGAAGAAAACTGATTCACCACGCATGATTCATGCATGTTAGATGTCAGATGCTGCTCGCGAACTCCTGGCCCTCCGGGGTTCCGAAGAGGAGATCACGCAGGGCAGACATGTCCTAAACCACCTTGCCCATCAAAGGTTGTGAAAAGCCATTTGCTCGACATTCCGAGCAATACTTCTACAAAGCGGCTTGTTGTGCTGGCTGCTGGCGCTAGATGCCTAGGGCAAGCTTTAGCTGAGCTTGATCAGGAAGTCCTTGGTTCACCACTGGTGCTTTTCTACGCTCTATGTTCAAGCTCACAGCTTGTGGCAACGCTTCCTGGCGCGTGTACATATGCAACCTTCAACCCTGCCTTCCACGTTTCTGAGGGCTTTGTGGCTGCTTCGGAATTGGAAGCTGGTAAGGGCCATTCGGGTGTGCGAGAGAAAGGGATGTCGTAGAATCTTGTAGAATTTTTGACTCCACCTTGAAGAAGGTGAAGAGATGGCCAAGTAAATTGTGCTTGCAAGAACATTGCATGCGCGGAGCAGAAACTACGTTGGGTGCGAGATGCTTACAAAAGAGTCACATGCAGGGCGCCAGGAGCAGAGCGTACACTCATGTTTCCGAGCACCCTGAGGGGCTTGGTGAAGAGACTTGGTACAAGTCAAGCGGGAGTTGACACCTACATGTGGCTTCATGGCATCGGAGGAGGGGCTGAGTACTACAGGGCTCAGTACATGTCATGTCACGTGAGGTACTCCATGATTCATGATTCATGCATGTCAGATGTTAGATGCCCGCAGACTCCTAGCCCTCCGGGGTTCCGAAGAGGAGTGCCGTTAGGGCAGACATGTCCTGAATCTTGTTGCGAACTTTGTGAGCCATTTGCTCCACAAATTGCTTCATGCTTTGTCATGCTGTGTCCTTGCGGACTGCCCGGCTCCACTTCTACAACGTGGCTTCTTGTGCTGGCTGCTGGCGCTGGATGCCTAGGGCATGCTTTGGCTGAGCTTGATCAGGAAGTCCTTTGTTTTCTTTGTTCACCGCTGGTGCTTTTCTTAGCTCTATGTTCAAGCTGCTTGAAGCTCACAGCTTGTGGCAACACTTTCCGGCACTTGTACATATGCAACCTTTAACCCTGCCTTCCACGTTTCTGAAGGCTTTCTGGCTGCTTCCGAATTGGAAGCTGGTGAGGGCCATTCAGGTGCGCGAGAGAAAGGGATGTCGTAGAATCTCGTAGAACTTTCGACTCCACCTTGAAGAAGGTGAAGAAATGGTGTAGTTTTCACCCCATGATTTAGAGGACCAAGTGGATTGTGCTTGCACGAACATTGCATGCACAAAGCAGGAACTACGTTGGGTGCGAGATGCTTACAAAAAAGTCATATGCAGGGCTGTATGAGCAGAGCTTACGCGCATGTGCCTGGCCCTCAGGGGTCTGGCGAAGAGACTCCACGTTGCCCATCAAACGTTGTGGAAAGCCATTTGCTCGACATTCCGAGCAATACTTCTACAAAGCGGCTTGTTGTGCTGGCTGCTTGCGCTAGATGCCTAGGGCAAGCTTTAGCTGAGCTTGATCAGGAAGTCCTTTGTTCACCACTGGTGCTTTTCTACGCTCTATGTTCAAGCTCACAGCTTGTGGCAACGCTTCCTGGCGCTTGTACATATGCAACCTTCAACCCTGCCTTCCACGTTTCCGAAGGCTTTCTGGCTGCTTTGGAATTGGAAGCTGGTAAGGGCCATTCGGGTGTGCGAGAGAAAGGGATGTCGTAGAATCTTGTAGAATTTTTGACTCCACTTTGACAAAGGTGAAGAAACATTTCAGTTTTCACCTGATGATTTAGAGGACCAAGTGGATTGTGCTTGCGCGAACATTGCATGCACGAAGCAGGAACTACGTTGGGTGCGAGATGCTTACAAAAAAGTGATATGCAGGGCTGTATGAGCAGAGCTTACACGCATGTGCCTTGCCCTCAGGGGTCTGGCGAAGAGACTTGGTACAAGTCAAGCAGGAGTCAAACCTACTTAGAGGTGTGCGACATGGCATGGGAGGAGTGGTTGAGAGCTTCTACAGGGTTTAACACTGGAAGAAAACTGATTCACCACGCATGATTCATGCATGTTAGATGTCAGATGCTGCTCGCGAACTCCTGGCCCTCCGGGGTTCCGAAGAGGAGATCACGCAGGGCAGACATGTCCTAAACCACGTTGCCCATCAAACGTTGTGAAAAGCCATGTGCTTCACAGGTTGTGTCATGCTTTGTCATGCTATGTCCTCACGGAATGGCCGTCTCTACCAGATGGATGTTGGTGCAGCTGGACTCGCTGGGCCAACTTCTATCCTTTCACCATCCCACGTGTTCTGCTGTGGTCAGGCCGAGACTTGGCAGACTGGTCCAAAAGACTGGGTACAGGGCAGGCGCCAAGAGACTTGGCACTGGGAGAATGAGAAGTCCAGTCCACACGAGTGACATGTACGATGCGATGTCGAGTGAAGTACTATGCATGATTCATGATGAAAGGTGGACCTGATGTATTGTTAGATGAACCACTTGAATAAACCATTTGATTCATGTATGTCAGATGTCAGATGTCAGATGTTACTTGCGGACTTGGGCTGGGCGGACTCTGGGTTTTGTTCGACTTCGGACAGAATGACCACGCAGAAGGACCAAGCGGGCCTCGGCGAGCCTCGGTGCGAAGGTGTCATTTGCAAAGACAATTCCTTCACTTTCATGTTGTGCCCTTGTGGACTGCCAGGCTCTATGTCTACATGAGTAGCTGAGCCAGCTGAGCGAACGATGAGGAAGCGACGCAATGCTGAGCCACTGGCACAGCCGCTTTGTTCTGGGGTTCTTATGATCCCACAGCCTTTGGCAGGTACATGTGAAGCACAGTGGATGCAACATGCACTTCTGCCTTTCACCAGCATACAGCTGCTTTTGAAATGAGGCTTGCCAACCTGCAATGCTTGTCGAAATTTGCATAGGCCAAGATGTATTGGGACTATGATGAATAGTTCAGTTTTAACCTGAAGATTCCGAGAATCAAGCAAGTTGCGCTTGCGCGGAAGTACTTGCACAAGGACCTACACTGCATACTAGACGTCTACAACAGGTCACATGCAGGGTGGTGAAATATGAGTGGAGTGTGAACGCTTATTTCCTAGCCCTCAGGCGCTACGCAGGGGAGTTAAACCTACCTACATGCCGTGAGATGTTCCACTCCACTTCGTCGCATGTCAAGTGAGTACCACACCGCGTCGAAGCACGTCGCATGGGCCCGGTGTAGGACTCCTGGGCCCTCCGGGGTTCCGAAGCGGGAGTCCTGGCGTTCACTCTTTGTCATGCTACAAGCAAAGGGCCCCGGAGACCGAACGCCGCAGCAGAGACGAGGATGGCCACGGCCGTGGGAAGCGCTGGCCACGACTGCTGGCTGGGTTGCCGCGCTTGGAACTACGGATGCTTCTCACTGCTGAGAGAGTGAAAGATAGCGGATGCAACATCCACCGCTGCCTTTTCCAATTTTTCGATGTGTGGCTGCTTGTGCAACGAAGCTAGGTCAGGATTTTTTGAGACTTTGTTGCAGCACCCTGACAAAGGTCAAGGACTAGTTGAGTTCTTCTAATGATTCAGAAGACAAGTGCAATGTGCTTGTGCGAAAGTGAGCGCGCAATGCAGAACTATCTTGGGGCGCTGACCAATGACCCTCCAACAATCCTCAACAGACCCACCCTTCCGCATTGGGGCACGTGATGCATGGGAATTGGGGCACGTGTTCCTTCACGGCGAGTTCTGAACGGACGCTAAGAAATGACTGAACAACATCCAGTTGTCCGGGGAAAAAGGGAATGAGTGAGTCGGCCACCGGGAAGGAATGGACAGCAGAGGGATCGGAAGATCGGTCCAGTTGGACCTCGGAAGATCGGTCTACCACCGATGCAGTGCAGTGTATGGTTGCCGGTGCAGTGTATGGTTGCTCCCACACTCACTTTCTTTGGTGTTTTGAAGACAAAAAGTAGTCTCAGAAGGCCCCCTCCCCGAAATCACCCGCAAAATCGGACACAAACTCCAGTTGAATTGTGAGACATCAGTTTCTTAAATCCAGGATCTGGCATGTCTTGAGACATGTGACATGTGCATTCTGGAGGGGCCAAGTGTCCTGTGAGCGGAACTTGAGGGGAGAATCTATGCGAGAGAGGACATGGCAGGCCAGCAGAATTAACAAGATGTGCGAAGACCAACATGTGTCACAATCATGGTGTGGAGATTTATCAGCCATTTACAGGGCATTCCAAACCCTGATGCCTTTGAGAGAAGAAAGGGGAGCATGAAGTCTCTGGCTAGGGGAATGGATGGTCAGACAGAGGATTCGTGCGTCAGAAGATGTGCGTGGGGGGAAGGATCCATTCTTTGGGTTGATCTCTTGGATTGCACAGAAAGCCACCCCGTGGCACTAGTGTGTTTGCCAACTTGCAGGCCTGCTTGATCTGGATCCCGGCGCCGGTCCAGGAGATGGAGAACACCTAAATCCTAAACCCTAGACTGCCTAAACACCTAAAGCCTGAAGTGGCTGACGTTACCTTGGTCTTTGATGGGTTGTCATGTCTTCTGTGCTTTCCTGGTTTGAGACTGGGGTACTAGATGAAGAGCAACTGGTGCAATCATTTCTGCACAAGCCCCTTGGCAACCAGCTTTCCCAACAACCTTACAGTATATATATATATAAGCTATTTGCATATATATATATACATGTTTTTTTTGCATGTGTACATATATAGTTATATATATACACAGACACACACACATATATATATATATATATACATATTTGTGCTAGGTCTTGTCATCCAAAGCTCATAGCAAAGCAGCCAAGAAAGTACTTGAGACCAATATCGGCCCATATCCTGCAATCACCGCCTTCTGCAGCTGCATGCGGGGAGTGAGCTCTACATCCCAAGAGCGCCAGGCGCCTGATGGGCAAAATCAGGATCGCACCAAGGCTAAAGTGGCAATACATCAGCGTGCCCACCTGATAATGGACTGTTGCTGATTGTTCGCTAATGGTATTCTGAGTCGAACATGATGATCGGGCAGCAGAGGGACTGGGGTCGGGGAAGTGATGGTTGTTAACGTGCAGGGCTTTTCAGGTATAGAATTGGCGGCACTGCTGAGTTAAAAAACATACAAACAATCCACTTTACTCAAGAAGAGGCTTTGTCAGATGTCGTTCTTCGACTTTGTTGATCAATTGCCTGCTCAGCTTGGGTGCAGGGAAGTCGGTGCCGGGCTTGGCAGTTGTTCCTTGGGTGTGTCGATGGACCCCCAAATACCCCATGACCGCATCCCGAGTGTTCCCGTGAGATGTCTGATAAGAACTGTCAGATCAATATTCACATTCCCACAAGCAACAATGTCCTACCTTGAGGATTTGGCAGCGCACCGCGCCGACCTCAAACGAAAGGTGTGCGTAGATGTCGCGTGTCGCAACAACAGCCCTCCGGGGTTTGCATCGGCTGTCAGCCTGAGGGAGTGGGTTGAGAGGCCTTCCGGGGCACCAAAAATTGCTGGCTTCGCAGCCATGCCCCAACAGGAACAATCGCATGCGCGCGCTTCGCGCGAGACCCTCCGGGGCACCGAAAATGGCTGGCCTTGCGGCCGTGCCCGAACAGGAAACAATTGTATGCGCGCGAAGCTCGCGCGAAGCCCTCCGGGGCACGCCATCCTGGAATCCAGGACTGGTTGACACGCCTCACGATCGGGACGAAAGTTGGGCAAAGGGCAGGGAAGTTGGGCCGACATTCCGGCTTAGTTGTCAGTTGTTCACCTTGCGCTTGTGCTGCCCCCCGGGGTCCGACGCAAGCGCAGGGTTTTGGGGCCCTCCGGGGAACTTTGCGCTACCAACGACGCACTGAAGGATGCACCACGGTAAAGAAGGACGCTCCATGGCCACCGATGTGTGAAGGGCGTGTTCCAGATTGGAAGAGATTATATCGCAAGCCTACAGCAGGTAGACCGCATGTTTTCATCACCCCACTTGGAAATTAAGTCATGTGTCATGGCAACTGCAGGCAAACAAAGTGGTTCCGGCTTGTGAACCAACACCAAAAACTGGCATCGTTTTGCGCCTGTGATGCCGTTGGGACAGATGGCTCTGGGCAAGAGACGTATGTTGTTGCTTGTGCCAACCATTCCTTTGCACGCCAAGAAACACAATAAATTTTGATTGCCAACAAAACAATTGGCAAATACTGAAGTCTTCTTACTTGGTCAAGGTCCACTTGCGGGGAGAAGGTCACATGGGTTTCCTGTTGTTCTTGTTCGCTCCGTGCATCTGTTTTGTTTACAACAGATATGGATCTTGAGCGCCTGGACAGTCTTCAATGGCAGCTATATATGTGCTCTCCAAGCTCCGCGCGGTTGCGTCTCACACCGCCTTAAGGAGGTCCGGACTGGGGGGTTGAGATCTCTTCAAATCTGGATTTTTCATGGGCGTGCTCTTCAACATGAGGCGTGACCTATTTGACCAAAGTGCCGGCCACATGCAACGCAGACTGCAACTCAGTGGGGCAGGGCCGGGCAGGGGGTAAAACCACATTCTGTTGTGTGCGCTGTTTCTTTTTTGCGCTACACTGCACTCTTCTGAGCTTGCACTGGGCTGGACATGTGCCCACAGCCAGATCACCATGATGGAACGACAAGCAAGTACCGCCTTTGCTCTTCCACGTTTTTCTGAAACACGGCATGGCGCCATGTGACATTGTTCTCTGATGATTGCACATGCCCTGCACCAGACATGGCCGCCTAGTCTTCGTCATGCGGAAGGATGCTGTCAGGTGCCCAGGAATGTGCGACCAGTTTCCTTCTCAATTCTCCCCGGAAGTTCCTTTGTATGGTGCGATTAGGCCCAAAAACTTCTCTGGCCCGGGCTGGCAACTGTCAGGCTCTGTTTCGCTTTGAGTGGAAAAGGTTGGCGAGGTCAAACATTTGTGGAATCAGCTTGTGCGGGATCTTCCAAAGCCAGGCGGGTTCCAACTTGCTTGGTGAAGGCGCTTTGCGGGCTTAGACCGCGCAGCAAGTGTTTACCGCTTGTTCCAACATTGTGGCATTAGAGCGGGGCGTGCAGCTGCAAAACTTTGCCCTCACATTTGCGCAAGTACCAGCCCTGCGTTCTGCCACATCATCTGGTTCAGCTTGTGAAAACGTTGGTAGCTGGTATTGTTGAGACTGTCTCCCAGGTCCGATTAGGAAAGTGCGTCAGTTGCAAGCAGCTGAACACAGTGTCTTGACATTCTTCTTGGGGGCAGACATTGTTCAGAACCAACCGTTCGATCCTGCGGGTTTTCGTGTGCCCGTCAGCAGTCAGAGTTTCTGATGTGCCCAAAGCGCTGTCCACATGTGTCAGGACACAGTCCACAGTTGATTCACATGGGTAAACGCAGCTTTTCTGTGCAACTGGCCTTGCCTTTTTGTACGCGGTCAAAGGACAATGTGCCCGCTTCCAATGACCCCTTCAAAACTTCTCAGGGCTCTTGGGTGTGGCTTGTAGATGCAAGTGGAACCTGATGAGCTTGTCTAGGACCTGTGGCTTGTTCTGTAAATTCTTGGAGTTTCTCGTGCCCTGCCCTGAGATCAATCACGGCCCTGTGCCAAACACATATGGGTTCTTGTATTACTGTACGCGTTTTGAGAAGTAGTTGTTCGGTTTGAAGCTCGGGTTGGGGGGCAAGACATTCTTGGTGTTCTTTTATCGGAACATGTCAGGGCAGGTGGGGTCTTGATTCAGGGCTGAGACAAAGAGTTCTTGCCCTGGAAGCAACGATCCTTTTCTCTGCAGTATGGTCAACATACCAGAGTGTTTCACACTAGAACCTGCTTGAATTTTTGTTGGGCATCCTTTGCCGTGGCAGAAATTGAGCCACAGTTGTTCCACCTCACTTTTGATTATCCACTTGGCTTTTTGCTTTGACTTCACCGGCATTCGCGGCCGGAGTCGCCGAAGACCTTTGAGTCTTGGAAAGCGGCCGCATCTCACATCTCTATTATATATCTACATCATATATATGCTCTGGTGCATCCTTGCATCCTTCAGGTTGCCACAGATGGCTTCAAGCACGAGCTCACAACATCATATTTGGAGATTTCTTTGGATTGTATGGTGGGCAATCTCATGGTTGAGAATGGTTCCGGCTGAATAACCCCCAGACGCACGCGTGATTGTTTTTGGACACCAACGAGGAGTACTATCAAGAGTCCACTATTATTACCTCTCAGTTGTGTTTTTCTCCCTCCAATTTCCTGTTTGTATGCAACCAGAGTTGACATTTCAGCCACACTAACGGATTTCGGACTTGGCTGAGTGGCAGAAAGGCAGATTTTGATGGATTCTGGAATTCAGGGTGAGGTGCGTGCACCCTCGGTGAACTGATGCAGGAGATTGCGAATGAGTTCTCTGGCGAATGGGTTCTCTGTTGCCACTTCTTCCAGGGCCCCCAAGAAGGGCTTCAGGTTTTGATTTGTTTTGCAACCACAGATCCTTCTGAAACAATGTGAGCACCGGTTCAAAAAATCTGTTCTGCTCTGAAGAACGGCAGCAAGGAATCTGGAAGACAAACCCACAAATAACTTTCTTGACCTGCCAAGCTTCTACATCAACTTCTCTGCGCAGATGGTTGCTTCAGCTGGCATAGCGTCGTGCCCCCAAACAGATGTTGATGTATTTGACTCCACGAACTTTTGGGAAACCTTTTCGCAAAGAGCCCTAGCGCCTACAAAGCCCCTTAGGCCCCCAGGCAGGAGTTGTTGAGGTCCCCATTTCTCTGACGTTTCTGGAATCTTTTGCGGCTGCAGGACACTGGGAAAGGCAACTGAATACACTAAACACAGCGAACGCTTCCAGCAAACATGTGCCCGGAAGCTGCTTGGTGAGTTCATCAGGAGGTCATCGCGAGGAACTCAAGAGAAGGTGCAGTGTATAACTTCACGACAAAGGCGTGGATCTTGGTATTGCTTTGGCAATTCTCAAGACCCGGTCAACTGGAGGTCAAGTGGACTTGCTGCTGGAAATGGTGGCGTAGCCAGCCATGACCGAGTTTCTCGAAGTTTCTTGGACAGACATCTGGTTAAGATTCTTGAGCAGTCTTGCGAAGTTGTATGGGGCACTTGAGCACAGCTTTGTGTTAATGCTGCTGCTGCTCTGGGAACTTGCCACTTGCCGCCTTGCCGCGACGGGAATTTCATTCTGCGTTCTCCATCTTGCTGCGTTTGGAGGCTCTTGTTTTGAACGGCCTTTCGCTTTGATGTGGCACGGTATCGAAGCACAGGTCTTCCCAGGGCAGGCGCATCACATGTCAACGTTTCGGTTCCAAGGACTGTGCCAACCGTGTTCTGACGACTTCGGCTAGGCTCTTCCTTTTGGGAGTCCGCTCATCTCAACGTATGACGATTTTGATAACTTTGTGGAATGTTTTTGCAGGGAGAAGGAGCACCACTCCGACCACAACTCATGAGCAGATGCCTGTCCGGTTTAGTTGCTCAGGTTGTTGAGAGGGGACGCCCCTCGATGGACGCCGTTTCGTGGTTGGATATTCAATCCGTTTTTCCATACGCAGTGCAGGAACTGCAGTACTGTGCTTGTGAGTTGCGCCTTCTCATGTTCTTGCTCCCTTACCGAGCTTGTTGGCAGATAGCCCCACAGAAGGAGCTGGAGTGGTGTTGGTGTGTCAAACCCAAATTCTTTCGGGAAGCTTCTTGCACCCTACCAGAGATTGTACAGTGATCTAGTACTTTGTAGAGTGCAGGGTTGCCCCTACAACAGGAATTTATAGTAAGTAAAAGCGCATCCCATCAAAGGTTGCAATCTCATGGTGGGGTTCAAGAAACGCCCGGAATTTGCGGAGTCAGGGTGTTCCCAACTCAGAACATGTTCCTGACGCCGGAAAGCGAGTTTCCTTGCAAATCCACGAAGCTGGCGCCTTCTCCTCGATGTTGCTTTCAACTTGTAACAAGCTAGCTGCCATTGGTATTAATTGGGTGCTGCGCAAGAACATCAAACAGGTCGCGGTGGAAGTGGGAGGATCTCAGCCAACTTGGCATGTGTGTCCGGTTTCTGCCTCATTTGGTGTATTTTACTTCGGCAGATGGATGCAGACGGATGAAGAGGTGATATTTGTGGACAATGTGGAGCTCATTCATGTTGAGATGGCTTCGCAGCGCTTCGCAGTCGTGGAGTTTTTTTTGAGGTGAAGACAAACCTGTAAGGAAGTGCGAAGTAGCTGCTTAAGCTGTGTGTGTTGTAGCTGAAGTCGAACTTCGGGTCCAGAACCGTAGCGTGGGTTCGTTGTGGCTTTGTAGAGACATCTGAGTTTACAAGAGTCCTCTCATGTTTGGTTGGTTGCAGTGATTTGCAGGAAGTTTACTGCGTGGAATGCTTGGAATGCTTGGCGGCATGTAGCGGCCGGTATGTGAGCCTTTATGCCGAATTCTGATTCAGGACCTTGCCCTGCCACGAATTCAGCGCGAACTCCATATTCATCATTCACGTGGCAGCTGACAGTGCTAGGTTGGCAAATATTTGAAGTTGCTTGTTCAGGCGCATGGCAGTTTTTACAGGGTGTCCCAATTTGCAGGATGAGCGCGGGGAAGCGGATTCACGGCGTTCTTTTGTTGACACGGCGATTCCGGCTCTAGCCCTGTGGCACATGTTGGAGAACGCTTTCAAGCTCAATGTCATTTCCTGAAGGGATGTGTGAACAACTATTCTGCGCAGAATTGTATTCATTAATTACACTATCATAGCTAACAGGTCTCTGCCAATTCTTCACTTTGGATTCTTGCAATGCGAGGACACTGCGTGGTATCTCCTTGGGATGTAGTGGCATGACACCATTTTAGGTGGACTGGGGCAACAACATTTCAGATTGAATGCCGAGCAGACAGAAGCAAGATAGACAATACTTTTACACGGTTGCTTGAGTTCAACATGAAGGCCTCTTTACTGTAGATATTATGCTTTGTGGCCAAAGGAATAAAGGAGGAGGTTGGGGTTTTGCACTGCTCTTCTTGTTTGGCACCCTGGGGTTGCAGGGAATTCCAACTGTTTAACACCACCAACAAGAACGTTGCCACGACGCAATTCAATTTCAGGGTGAGCAGCAAGACACTTTTTGATCTTCGGACAACCCTAAAAAAAGGCCGTCGATTTCACACGTCCAGGGTTCTTGTTGTCTTCCGGAACGAGCCTATGACGCCTTTCTTGCAATCCACGAAGGGGACATTTCTGCGGCGAGAAGACCAGACACCACGTCGGTCGGATGTGGCATGGTTGAACGTGCCACCGTGGGCGAATGAGAAGTTGTTGCCTTTGTTTTCTCCAACTTGAACTTTCTTGTGCCAAGCCCTGAAACCCTGTGAAGCGGCTTCGGGTCTCATACAGCTGTTTGGATCTCATGAAACCACAGCAGTCACTTTCGTTTAAGGGGCTGTAATTTCAGGGCCAGGTGCAAGAACGTTTGGTTGAATGTTTTGATTCAGGACCTTGTTCTCTTCTTGTCAAGCTCTAATTCGCAGTCACACGCAGCCTGAAAGCCCCTGCCCCCAGAGAGTTGTTGCGGAATTCAAGTGCAACAGGTCTTCTTGTCGGAGCAGGAGCGGCTGTCAATGATGTTCAGTTCTTTTTGAGCTGTGCCTCTTCTGTTTCTCTTGCTTGCCTGCCAAACTTTCTCTCCTGAAGCCAGATGCTTTGCCAGATGCTTTGCAGAGTTGGAGGCTACAGTTCTCCCAACGAGTTGACAGCGACTCTCGGGTACATGCGACTCTTGAGTATCGCCGCATCCCGAGCTCCATCTTTGACCGAGCGACTTTTGGAGATGCAGCGAATCGGTGTTCCAACACGAGTGTCCCAAGCCACAAGATCCTTTGGGCGTCTTCAATGGTGGTTCCTTCTGCGGGGGTTGGCTTTTGGACCAAACGATGTCCCACAAGTACAGGTCCTTTTTCGGTATCTTTGGCGGCTTCTTTGTTTTGTGTAGAACGTGCAGCATGAGTTGTTGGGGCAAAAGACGTATTTGGCACCATGGTTACTTTCATGGTTTACTGCGACAGTGCAACCATCAAACATGATACATGGAGTTGCATTCATCCGCAATTTCTTTTCAGCGACTTCAACGACATACTCACGGTCTGTGGCCAAAGGAAGAGCTTGTGCGCAGTGGTGGTTGGAAGTCTCTTGTGCCCTACCCTGAAATTGCTTGAGGTTTGAGACCCCTCAAAAGTGTTGCGAGAAGATATATATATATATATTAGTTTTCTCAGGGTAAGGGACAGGAAACTGGACATGTTGATGTTTCAGGTTGCTCTGGAGCTTTCCTTGCGTGGTATTTCCACAAGGTGTCCACGGGGACGAATCATTCAGCGTGGTTTGAAGGTGGTCTTTTGATTGAGGATTGTCTCGACGAGAACGTGTCTCGTTTCTTCTTGGTTTGGAACTATGGCATCACAACCTATGTATGACATCCTAGTTGGAGAGGTACCAGTAGGATGCAAAAGATGCTTATTGCTGACATCAACCACCATGAGGATGTCATACATGGATGGGACGCTTTCGCTTTCTCGGCAATCCAAAAGGTCTTATCTATTGTGTTTTCTTCGTTTGGGTTTCCAGCCCTGCTTCTTCGCTTCCCGTGGGCAACCCCGTCTGCCGACCCAACGAGCCCGCAAGAGAGCAGTCGGTTTTGGTGTTTCTACACTCCTGGAACCGTCATGAGGCAGTGGGCAGTGGTTTGTTGGAACATTTTCAGACCAAGCAGGCAGGTGCCAGGCCGCGGAACCATGATGACTTCAGGGAGTGTCATTTCAGAGCCACTTCCGAAGCTGCTTCGGTCGGTGTGCCGCGGAGGATTTGCTTGGCGTTCGGACCGATTGGCCGAAAGCAGGGCAGACGTGCAACAGCCTTGCCCTTAAGAGAGCGTGTTTGATCTGGTCTTCTCACGGAACAGGCGAAGAAGTGGCCGAATTTTGTTCTTTGGAACCGTGCCTTTTCTGTGCCTCCTGCTCCACCTTCCGGATCCAAGGGACTTCTCCGGTTTGTGACGGACAAGGGGGTTGTCGGTTGTCGCAGGTCGCTCTTCGATTGGTTGGTCCGACCTCACAATTCGCGTGACATGGAATGGCAAGTCCTTCCCGAGTCTCTTCCTGCAGGATCCTGGAGGTTTTGCACGTTGTTTTGGATGTTTCATGATATCATGTCCCCCTGAAGCGCTTCCAGCTTTGTACAAAGTTGACTACAGCGGAGGTTTGAAGTGCAGGATGCCGGGTGCAATGTTCAAACACGATGGCGCCGGACCAGGGTGTTCCAGGAAAATGGCCTGTGTTTCAGTGGCAACACTTGGTACAGATCCTCAAGTTTCTGGTCGAAATCGAAGTGATTTTTGTTCCCTTGACGTACTACAGGGTACCTGGCTGGTCCCGGTCTTCACTCCCCCTGGTTGGTTGCAGGTTTGTCGCGGAGCGCGGGATGCCCCAGGTTGGTACAGGTTGGTGCCAGTGATTTGGATCTTCCATGATGTTCTTGGCGATGTTTCGATGTTGATCACTTCCACAAAATGGGAAATCCCACAACCCAAAGCCGGCGACGAGGGTGACATGGGATGCCCCAACGACCGGGCTTTGGTCAAAAGTTTTTGCTGGAAGAGGATCTGGCCAGCAAGTCGTTGAATCAGTCAACTTCCTTTTCACCCCTTTCAGCAACCTCTTTCCGTGTTGTGCTTTGCATGTGTTGTAAATGCACTACAAGAGATGCGAGTGCTTCTTCGGTGCAGTGGACATTGGTGAAGGTATTTTCAGATTGGTGGCTTTACAGAGGTGTGCTTTGGAATATACTATTTTCCATTTTCAAGGTTGAGAATATTCATGGTATTCAGGCAGGTTCCAGTTCGAACTTCCATGAACATATTCTATTTTTTATCTTGGCAGCTCAGCATACCATTGGGAGGAGCTTCGGGGATTGCGCTGATCTCGCCCTTTTTTTGCACGAGAACACATTCCTTCGTCACTGCGTGACAAGCTTTCTTCATTTGCTCTTCATGGATGGCGCCTGGCAATCGTGGAATCTTTACCAACCCCACCCATCCTCCCAAAATGCCCAAACCCTTGCCACGAAGTGGTGGACCTTGGGAGGTGGTCTGCTGGGAGGTGGTACCCGGACTCGGCGGACACGGCGAGGAAGGGACGCCCCCGACCAAAGGCAGGCGCAGGAGAGTCTGACCATTGTTGCTGGACAAATTGTTGCTTTGATTCCTCATCCATGACAGCTTTTCTGAGTGAACACTCTGAACATGCCTTTGCTTCACACCTTCTTCAGCTCTTCCGAAGTTCGGTGACTTTCTCCAGTTTTCGCGTCTCTGGAAGGTTTCGGGGGTCATGAGAGAGACATGATATATCTGCTTGGAACGCCACTTCATCCAAGCAGCAAGGAACTGTATACATATATATATATACTGTGTATATTACTATATGATATACAAGTGATATAATATATATATATACATATAAACCATTTTTATATGATATACATATGATATACATACGATATATATCATATATATATTAATGATACATATATATATATGACATATATATATATATGTATACAAAATACAATATGTTATAATAGTATAGATGACTATATATTATGTTCTATATTTTATATAACTACTATACTTGATCGAATCCGGTCCTGTATTGTTTTTGATCAAATGGTGTCGGTTCATGGCAGTTCATACCTGAAATTGTTTCAGGAAGGGCAACTGCACGGCCAATAAGGCCAATTCAGCATTTTCATTTTTTTGTACTGGATCTGAAGGTGGCATGAAACTTGGGTGGCCCGAGTGAGGAGCGGACTTGTCCCAAGGTCATTGATGCAATCGTCCTTGTCTCCTGGCAACTGCATGTTCAGCTGTAAGACAACAACTGTGTTTTGCCAACAAACTCCGTACCAGTGCTGGCTTTCTTTCGGGAAGCATACTTTGCAGTCCACTTCCTGCCATCAACGGACATTCATGACGTTGCCTCTCACAGGAGCTTCCTCACGGAAGCTTGAACTTGTCTGAGTGCTTTAGCTTTGACAAGTACAGGCCTTCAAAGGACAAGGGCCTTCGCATCTTCTTTGTGGTTTGAAATCCCACTGTGGAGACGATGGATGCACGCGAAGCACATCATGGGAAGCATTTTGGCGCTGTGCAAAGCGACCTGTTTCAATGGCAATGAACTATTTGGGTTTCAGGCGGTTGTAGTCTTGGAACGCACACTTGTTGAGCCATACCTAGAAGATTCTTTTGGTTGGCTACTTGCTTGAACACGGTCTGGCCTTAGTGATTTGGAACGCACCCAATTCCTCGAAATGTGGGTCTGACCTTCGGGTTGACTCGCAGGACCTCATTGGCCCCAGCTCGTGGGCTCCCGAGGTGGGTCAGCGCCGACCTCCTGGCTCCTACGTCGTCGTGCAGATGCAGCAGATGGAGGTGCAGTGGGCGAGTGGGAGCGGAAGGAGGCTGAGTGAAGTCGCAGGGTGAGACATGGAGAGTCGAAGTCTTCTCCAGGAGGGGCAACAGGGTCACCTTACTAAGTGACTGAGCTTAGGCTAAGAGCAGAATTTTGATTGGGGTGACTGAGTTTTGAACGCGCGTTTGAACGTGCCATACTTCGTACGTCCAGCAAGTTGGGATTCTGGAGATGTGTCGCTGACACCGTCCAGCTGCTCATGAGCTCGTCCGTGACTAGAGCGTGTGGGCCATGTGAACGTGAACCTATTGCGGTTCTTCGCCACGCAGACTCATACGAAAAGACCTTCATTCTCGCAGAGTTTCCATGCTCTTTGGATGCGGTGCCTGCAGTGCAACCCCCCTCCAGTCTCACAGGAGCAAGGAGGCTACTAGGGGCTCCTGGCCTTACTACTAGGAGACGATCGGATGCTGACCGAACGGAGCAGCTTCGGGCATCGCTACTCTACGAATCGTTCGCGATCGGACGCGGATCGATCGGAGTATCGAACGTTCTGAACGCGGTGGCGACGGCCGGATCGAACGGGGCGAGTTCCGCGACCGTGCCGTCGTGGGTGGGTGGCCGTCGAACGGGCCACCAGCAGTTAACGCTCGGGGTGGGTTGGAACAAGGAGCTTCCCCCAAGAAACACCCTATTGGAAGCGTTGGAAGGGGGGGCACGGAACCTTTTGAGTGGAACTTTTTTGAGTTTTTGAGTGCTTCAACTGGTTCGAAAGGCAGCGGAGGTCGATGTCGACGGCAAGTTTTGGGTTCAGGATTTGGAGGAGGCGACCTCCAAAAACGCCTTCAGTCTGTCAGCTCTACTCAAGCGCCCGCAACAGGTCTTGGCTCATGGACTTCGTGGACATCATGGACATTGTGGACCTCGTGGACGTCGTGGAGGTGAAGAGCACCGAGGCTGCGGCTCATCCAGAGGCTGCGGGGTTCCTCCCGTCGGGATCCGTATACGGCGGGGGTGTGTTGGTGGTTTTTCCGGCGGAGCCGCGGAGCTGCGGAGTGGGTTCAAGATCCCAGCCCTTGGAACCGTTCCCAAAAGGCCAGCAGTGGCCGCGGTTGGTCCAACAAGGTCCATTTTGGCCACAGGTGCTTTGCGGAGATGTTGCTCGTAAAACGTTTTGTTTTTAAATCACTTCATTTCACTCTGGGACTGGCGATTGAAATCTCCTCAAATCAGATACCTTTTGTTTCTCTACCCTTTTCGACGATCAATTCCGGGAGGGCAAAGAAAGACCTCACTGAATTCCTTTTTTGGGAAGATTCGTTCTTTTTCAATGAGTTACTGTTGGGCTATTCTGGGATTGGGCGGATTTTTGGGCGACCTGGTCTTTCCCATTGGATGCCAAGAAGACGAAGAACCAATTTTTCGCAACACTTAAGCTCTTGCCTTGCCGGAAATAGCTTTCGGTTTGAGTAGAATTTCAAAACGCCTTACAATGGTTCTGAAATGCCTCGCATAGTACTCAGAATGGGTTTTCGTGGTCAGTGGCATGATTGGATGTGATTGGATCGTGGTATTGTGTGCAGTGACGGATGATCTACAAAGAATGAGTCCACAGGTACTTTGCAGTGTGGAGGGCGAATAGGCCAGCGAAAGTCAGTAGATAAAGCATGGTTTGGTGGTGTTTGGACTCTGGACTCAGACCCCATATGCTGGGAGGCTCTACAAGGCCATCCAGATTGGTTGATTCGCTCAAGATGGCTGATGCGGAGTCAGGCGCTCCGCCAAGAAGCAGATCTTCAGATTTCACCATGATGCTCAGCGCTGCTAACTCTCCCTGATCCATGGACATCCGATTCGGGCATTTGTTTTTTTCATTTTTTTCATGTGTCCTGGATGATTCATGGTGAGCGGAGCAGTCATGCAGTATCTCCACCATGGTAGCTTGTTGCTGAGTCCTGGGTTGGAAGTCCTGGGTGAGGCACTGGGTCACCTGGCCTGGGCATGGGCATGGCATGTGCCGCGAGCGAAGCTGGGGCGACCATAAGCTAAACATATATTCATGGAAAGAAACTTTTTCAGGCAAATGCTGCCATCCTGCTTCTTGGTTTGATCACTGTCTGAGTGCTGTGATTCCAGGAGGATGAGGCACAGCTGCGGGCCTGGATGTAAGTCGATACGGTCTGAAACTTTGTTGCTCAACTCATCCTCGCCTCTGTCAGTTTCCAAGCTCATCAAAACGAACCCATTGGAAAATCCTCAAAGACAGCACAATGATGCTGAACACATATGAGCTCATCACTCATCACATGCGCTCTTTCAACGGATTTGAGCCCAACCACGAGCTCCACCCGCTCCGTGAGCACCACCCGCTCCGTGCGCTCGACGCACGGGTTCCGATGGGATCAGTGAACCCCCCCCGAGCGACGAGGTCGTTCCACTTCCGGATGGGAAGGTCGGTGGCAGTTTCTGAGGGACGGCAGGGGGCCCAACTGGTTGCATGGGCGGAAATGGTGAAGTGAAGCACTGGAAAGCATCTTCAGGAAAGCATCTTGGGGAGGTGGATCTTCCACCTCATCTCCCTGCCCTCCGGGGTTCAGTGGCAGTCAGCACACAGTTCGCCATGCGTATGGACGACTGCTCCTGCCGCAGGATAGATGGGGATGGATGCACCTACGCTAGGAATGAGGTAGAGGGAATCCAATTTGAAAACATTGTGGAGGACTACATGAAGAATCGGTTGGTGTTGAACGGTCAAATGGCTGACAGCTTGTATGACTGTCTTGGTGGTTG